TCTGCAGTAACTTTTACTAAGACTAATGTCAAACTAGATATACATAGGATTGTGCTGTAAGTCATATATTATAGCAGGGGTAGGCAACCTGTCCCCTTTAAGGGCTGAGGGACTTCAGCTTCCAGAAGCCTCAGCCATGTTGGCCAATAGTCCCATGTTGGCCAATAGCTCCTGGGATTCTGGGAGCTGAAGTCCCTCGGCCCTTAAAGGGGAAAGGTTGCCTACCCCTGTATTATAGCAATAGCAATATTACGGCACAATCTTTTTTTTCTTCCCCCATTCTGTGGGAACAGTGCAGATGCTATAATGACATACACATATGTGCCTGGAAGGTTTTTTGTGGGGAAAAAGCTTCTGCAAAGTGAAGTTGAGATGGTGGATGTTTTCCTGAGAGTAGGGCAACTGGACATGCATACTTTGTTTGGCATTAACAAGTTTCCATCACTAAGTATCAGCATATCTGTTATACTTGATGTTTTAAGCAGGAGCAAACAATTGCAAGTCACACAGAATCTTTTAGCCTTACACTCTTGGTGGTTTAAATTGGAAACTAGCTTCCAGAAAGGCAGCCATGTTAGTCTGTTTCCTTAAGTAAAGATGACAGTCCTTGGGGATCAATTATTTCTAGACATACAGTTGGACTTGCACCACAGCCTCACAGTTTCTGAGATTATCATGTAGAATCTGGATTGTAAATGAAAGCACATGCACATGATCATAATGATGCACTTACCAGCCAGTTTCAGTCAGATCAGGGATGTGGTTTTGAGCAGGCTGATTTGGAAGCCAGTTAAGTTGTTTGACAATCAGTGAAGGAAATGAGTTTTAGAGATCTAATATTTTAATTTGAGGCTTTGTCCTTGAATTTCTGCTAGTTAGAACAATACTAGTTTTGTTCTAGCATTCAGCTACTGTTGCTAAGAGGTAACTCCATAGGCATCCAGATCTCAGGACCTGGCTTTCTGCCCAAAATCGGCAAAGTGGTATGCGATGAATAGATGCATTTAATCCTGCAACAACTTCCCCCAAGGTGTTTTTCACCTGGTTACCAACTGGTGGGGATGAGGAGTAACAGAGAAAAGCAAGAAGAATGAAGAAGTGAGACCTGCACTATCTGTGCATCATTCTTCCATTGCAGACTGTTTCTTAGGTCAATATCATGCTACACGGCTATAGTGCTATTATTCCACTTTAACTGCTATGGCTGCCTCCTGTGGAAGGCTAGAGTTTGTAGTTTAGCGAGGTCCAAGAGCTCTCTACCTGAGAATTCTAAATGCCCCTCCCTAAACTGCAAAACCCAGGATTCCATAGGAGGCAATCATAGCTGTTAAAATGAAATAATAGTGCTATAACTGTGTAATGTGATATTGTCCCTAGTTTTACAGGTTTGGAAATGTTCAGCTGACACCCAAGTCTTCATGGAGTGTACAGTTTTGTTCTCACGTTTTTTTATAACATAACAGAAGATAACAGTTCCAGCACTCCCGAGAAAATGTTTTCTTTCACTGACGATAGTGTCAGCTGCTACTTAGGTTTAATTATTATTATTAGCAATTGACAGACATCCATAATGAAGTCTCTGGACAATTTGGGCATCTGCTTCAGTTCTGTGTACATTTTGTTCTCATGAATAAGAATAATGGTTTAGTGCTAGTTCCCTTTGTTGGCTTGTGGCTTTCTTTCATTTTTAGCTCGTTCTTCTTTCTCTGACCTCTTGTGTTCATGGGTCCAAATGGCTTTTGTTTCAACAGCTGACAAATATAAGGACTCTACGCCTGAAGGAGCTAAAAATGCAGATAATGCAGCCAAAAATGCAGAACCTCTGATAAACCTGGATGGTGAGTAAAGGTCCAACAGAGATTAGAAACATTGAACCTCCTCCACACATTTTGGAGTACAACCCCAGCAGTTCTATATCATCTGCTCCTGGGAGTTGAAGTCCCAGACATCTGGAGGGCCAGATGCCCAGCTCTTCTGTAAATGCTGGTAACTGGTTTAAGTGAGCATGGCAATAAATGTAGGCTGCTCCATTTGGAATCAGCTGTTGTGTATCTGTGTGCTTTTTCACAGTGAACAACCCTGACTTTAAGGCAGGTGTGATGGCTCTGGCAAACCTCCTTCAGATCCAGCGTCATGATGACTACTTGGTGATGTTGAAGGTGAGTTTATTACTGACCATTATGCTTATGCTTGCTTCAAAAATATGTACTGTACTAATTGAAAAAGCTTTTCAAGAAAACATGGTTTCTGTAAAGCCACTGATTTCCTATCACCCCATGGTCCTAACAGTGCTAGCAAATTCCTAGCAGATGCTAATAGTGCTAGCAGATTTTGCAATTCATCTTTTTCTAATTCCTTAGATGGGGCCCTTTCCATCCATAGTGGTTCAGTTCTTGGGGATGGGAAAAAGCACAGGAACTGAAGCACATGTTAGTCAACGGGTGGCAACATGCACACATCCACATCGGCACAGTTTGTTTATACGCCACTATTGACTAATATGGGGTGAGGCAATCTGCAGGAGCTCAAATCCGCAGATGGCTAGCCTGTTAGAGAGCTCAGCTAAGAGTGGCCTCAGGAGTATTAAAAGAGATTCTCTTGAAAGGAAGGAATTGTGCAGCTCCTTAAAAAGCATTTTTACTCAGTAGTAAACCCCACTGAAGGTCTAAGCCAGGGGTAGGCAACCTTTTTGAGCCGGGGGCCGGGTT